GGGGGGGGGGGGTTGTTTAGGAAGAAGCCAGAATTAGAAAGGGAATTAATTCCCAATCCAGGCATGACAAAGCCCACAGGTGACCAGCCCAACTTCTGATCAATACAGGGCAACTCCCTGAGCATCTGGGTGGCTCAGTCGGTGGAGCATCCAACTCTTGATATGGGCTCAGGTCATGATCCCAGGGTCATGGGGTATAGCCCCGCATCAGGCTCTATGGTGAGAATGGAGCCTGCCTGGGATTCTCTCTCTCCCTCTCTCCCTTGCCTCTCCCCACCTCTCAAAAAAAAAAAGATAATAATAATAATAATACGGGGCAGCTCCCTAGAGAGGAGAGATGCTTCAGGAGCAGAGTTGAGGCATATGAACAGTGTATATTATATTTATAATAGCTACTCTGTATGGACCCCTCCTAGGTGACAGGCACTGTGTTGAGTACTTTGTATTCACTATTGTGATTAAGCCTCACCAAAAAGCCTGTAAGTTATGTACTATTTCTAAGCCCCTTTTACAGATAAGAAACCTGTGATTTACAGAAATAGCTTGCTAACTGAGATTAAAACCCAGGCCGACGTGACTCCAGAGCCCCTAACTCCACTGTGCCGCATGCCCTGCTGTGATTGCTGACCATGCGGTGAAATATGCTGGGTGGGGACTGCTTGGCCAGTTTGAGAATGAAGGACACTAATGTTCAGAAATATTGAGTGACTTGCCCAAGACCGTCAAGTTAGTCAGTGGTGGCCAGGAACTGAGTCTATATCCTTCTGACTTTGGTCCCAGGACTCCTTCCCCTTTGTTGAGATGAAGGTGAGATTGGGCATGATATATGTGCCACCGAGTCTCAGAGACCAAGGGAGGGGAAAGGATGCCACACCATGGGAAGGCTGACACTCCTCTCTCCCCCAGGCATTCCTGGAGAAGTACGGATATCTCAAGGACCAGGTCCCCCAAGACATCACCTCGACAAGATTCAGCAATGCCCTCAGGTAGGATGGAGGGATGTGGGGAACTTGGGGGTGCTGGAGGGCAAAGCTTGGGTAGCCTCCTCCATCTTCCTGGGAGGCTGGCCTCCCACCTGTGTCCAAGGGCCACACTCCATGGCTCCCTCCCTTCTCTGTCCCCAGGGAAAGCTCCCTGCCCTCACCTCCACCCCCCACCCTTGCTCTGTGACCCTTTATCTCAATTCCTCCTGACAGAGAGTTCCAGTGGGTGTCCCAGCTGCCCATCAGTGGCGTGCTGGATACTGCCACCTTGCGCCAGATGACACGGCCCCGCTGTGGGGTTGCAGACACAGACAGTCAGGCAGCCTGGACGGAGAGGATCAGTGCCTTGTTTGCTGGACGCCTGGCCAGAATGAGGCGGAAGAAACGCTTTGCAAAGCAAGGTGAGTGAGTCCTGTTTAAATCTAGCTAAGCTGGGATTCCTCAATACCCGGAAGCCCCGTGGCCGGAGAAAAACCCAGTTCAGCCTCCAAGGGGCTTTGTCTGTAAACTCTTCCCTAGGGCGAGAGAGGGGTGAGCAGTGGGTAAGCAGTGGGTGAGCAGGACCCCTCAACTAGAGGGCCGTGTTTGTGAACACAGACATTTAAATCAGAATTACACCCACGTCGATGAATTTTCATTGGGCACATATTTTCCAGAGCAAATCCCATCAAGCCCTCCATCAGTTTGTGATGCAGGGCAGTTCAACTGTTGCCAACATTTTGCTTTATAGTGTCCCAAAGTTATTTTCGTCAGATTCAATGCCTTTTTCACAAGAATTCTTCAACAAAGACGTGACTTATTGATCAGTTTTATTTTGTCTACAGCACATTTTAACAGCTTTATTGAAATATAATTCACATACCATAAAATTTACCCGTTTAACAAGTACAATTCAGTGGGTTTTAGTATATTCGCAGAATTGTGCAACCATTACCACCATCTAATTCCAGAACATGTTCATCACCTCAAAGAGAAACCCCATGCTCAGTAGCAGTCACTCCTCCTCCCCCTCCCCTCCCCCCTACCTCCTATCCCCTCCCCACAGCCCCTGGCCACAGGAAATCTACCTTCTGTTCCTAGTAGAACAGATTTGCCTCTTCTGGACATTTCATCACAACTCATTTTACACACCACAGTTTCTGCTATTGTGATTTTCCTTTTGTAGTTTTGTTTTTATCTTTCCTTCTCCTCCTCTTTCTCCTTTTTGTCCAAATGCAATCTTCCAGGGTCAAAAGCTACAGGTCTAAGATTTATGAAGATTTGATTACTTCTAGCAATTCTTCATCAATAACAGGTTTTACTGTGTGTGGTTTTAACATTTTGTTTGTACTAATTTTCTCTGATCGATGTTGGCAGTTCTTAAGATTTCCAACAAGATAGGCTTGTTCAGTCAGGCTTTCATCTACAATTGAGTTTACCATGAGCACTTTGGGTCATTGCCTCTTTTAATTTGCATTAACCACTTTCGCCGACGATATCTGTTATGAGCAGATCAGGAGGCACATAGGTCGTTTTTATTTCTTAGCTAATCCAGAAGGAAGTCGTGGGCGGCTCCCCTTAGCTACTGGAGGATGGCAGCGATGGGGGCCAGACTCTGGGCTCCAGACATCCTTGGTGTCGACCTGTTCTGCATCCCACTGTGTTTCTGGACAGGCAAGGTGGAACGGAGGCGCAGCCTTCCTGGAGCTGGGGCTCTGGGTTCAGCAGTGTGTCACTGCTCCATTTCCTCACCCAAGACCCAGGCCCTTTCTGCCTACAGAGTAGAGATGGGCCCTGACCACCCAGGGTTAGGGGCTTGCAGTGGAAGGTGGGGGCAGCCCCAGACACAGTCTCAGCATGCCACCACCAGGCTAAAGGTGGTCTCCCAGAGAACTGGGACGATGCCTCCTGGGCATCCAGGAGCAGTAGGGAGACTTCCTCTGGCGACATCTTCTCATGCCTTCTCAAGGGAGTATCTGAATCCGATGGAGTCCATTTGTCGCTGTTTAATTTGGAGCCTCCATCTGGGACAGAGATTCAAGCTAAGGCATCTCCCAGGCAGGTGGCCTTGCCTTGCCAACCTGGCCCCATGCCACTGTCTGACACTGACCCCTGGTCCAGACAGCAGTGGCCAAGTTAGGCAGGGACTGTCCCTCTTGCTCACAGCGTGACCCGAAGAAGCTTGACATCCTTTATCCCCTAGGGGAAGAGGTTCCCTAGAAAGGAGCTGTATGCTTGGTAGGCACTGAACACTTCCTATGTTTTCCTTAGGAAAGAAAATGTAATAATAACAGTTGACCCTTACTGAGCATTTATGATTCGCCAAGCATGGTTCTAAATGGATTAACTCACTTAATCCCATAACAACCCTATGAGATGGGTGCCATTTATCCTCATTTTACAGTTAGGCAAACTAAGGGACAATGAGCTTGGGGAACTTCCCCAGGGCCACATAGCCAGGGTGTGGCCAAGCCTTCTTGTCATTGGGAGGACTGAGTGAGATTCCACATGTGAAAACCCAGAACATGGGTAGGTGCTTTAAAAATGATGTGGATTTCCAGGTCCATGACTGTCTATTCTGTGGAGAATGCTATGCTGACAAAGTCGGGTTCAAGGGTACGGTTGCTGGACAAAATATAGGATGTCCAGTTAAATTTGAATGTCAGATGGACAAAAAATAACTGTTTTGTTCTCACTTATAAAAGTGAAATAAAAGAATTATTTGTTGTTTATCTGACATTCAAATTTAACTAGGTGTTCCATATTTTTAATTGCTAAATCTGGCAACCTCATTCTGAATGTCTGGTCCACTCTGTGCCTGCAGGGGAGATTTTCAATCCCCATTGGTCCTTCATGGAGCTGGTGGGGGGTTGGGGCTGGTGGAGGTTGGGGGGCGGGGCACAGGGGTGAATCTGGTGGGGGTGGAGGGGATACAAGGGTGAATCTGGTGGGGGTTGGGGAGGCACAGGGGTGGATCTGATGGGAGTTGGGGGACATAGGGGTGAATCTGGTGGGTTTGGGGGACACGGGTGAATCTGGGGTGGAAAAGGAAGGAGAAGTGAATGGGTATTTACTGAGCACCTACCATACGCCCAGCAGCTATATGTTGCCATTTCATTTGCCATTTCATTTTTACCAGAAACAAGTCTTATAAATTGCACTTTGCAAATAAGGAAACTAAGGTTTGGAGAGATTCCATAATTTGCTATGTAAGGTTATAAGTAGAAGTACTGGGATTCCAACCCATGCTCTTTCCTCAGTATCCATTGCCTGTTGGACGTCAGGACTCCAGGGTCCTCCCCCAACGAGGTGTCTGCACTCCTGGTGTCCTTTACCTTTCCTCTTCCCTTTTGGATTTTGGAGCAAGGGTGTGGGGGATGCACTGCCAGGTGCTTCTGTGGCCTAGAAGTCGCTACAGAATCCAGCCTTGCCTGGCCCGGAGTTCAGGATGGGGCCGGAGGCGGCCAGCCTGCTCTAGGATGGACAGAGGGCTCAGGCTGCTGGCCAGGGCATTCCTTCCTTCCTGGCGGGCACACCAACAACCCCTCCCAAGAAAAATTAGCCATTTTCTTCTCTCAGTCCTGTTCCTGTTTGTCCTCCCCATCCTCCCCCAAACACATGCACACACACACACACACACACACACATTCAGAGGATTTTTATACTGTGAGCTGTCACCTTCCCTGGCTACCTACAGTGAGAGAAGTGCCCACCCTCTCCCTTTCTTGTCCAGGGAGTAAGCCCCCCCCTCCCCCACCATTGGCAAAGAGGCAGAAGGAGCTGCCTCACACTTCTAGAAGCTTGAAGGTGGGCGGGGAGAGTCTGGGGGTCAGTCATCCACAGCGAGGTGTGGAAGTGCCCAGCGCCAGCCAGTCCAGAGCCCTCTGAGGCACCTCTGGACCCCAGACCTTCCCTCTGCCTTTCTTTTCTCCCTCCCTTCCTAAGAATCCCTCCCTCTTCCCTCCCAGAGGCTGGGTCACTGGCTGGGAGGGGTTGGGTGGCCGCCAGGCCAAACAGGCCCAGGGAGGCAGCATTGCCTTGAATGGAGCTTGGCTCAGGGTGGGAGAAAAGACCCGCCCCTCCCCCACTTCCATGGGGGATGAAGGGGGGCGTGGGGGAGGGAAAGGGCATTCAGCTCCTCTGCTCTCTACCACCCTCCCTTCCATCTGGAGAATTTCAGCTCATGCAGAGCCCCTGTTTTGACTGAAAGGAGCCATGTTTACACAAATGTACAAGCCCTGAGTCTTAGCAAATGTGCCTGCTTACCTGTGTAGTATAGTGGAAAGTGCACAGTGTCAGATGTCAGGGCCTGGGCTCAGGGCCTAGCTTGGCTTCTCACTCATTCTGTGACCCTGGACAGGTCCCTTCCCCCTGGTCTCAGTTTCCCGAGAACACAGCAGAGAGGTTGGTAAGGAGATGGCCAACCTTCCATGACTTTAGCCCTCTTCCCCAGTTTGGGCAAGGACTTCCCCAAGACAGAAGGGCAGCAGGTCTGAATCTTCAATTGTTCCTCCAAGGAAAGAGAGGGCTGTGCTCACTGGCCTGGCCACCTCCTTGTCACCCGTACATCAGGAATTCTGGTCCATTTGGGAAACTGGGGCCCCCAAAATAGCATGATACCTGTGCACCCCCTGGGCCCATGAGGTCTGCCTCTGAGCTGTGAATCTTCCACCACCTGGGGTCACCGTCTCAGCCCCTGAGCTTACAAGGCTCAGAAATAGTTTGTGAAAAACTCGGGTTCTGAACCTTCTAAGCACCCTGGTCCTGGGTGTGTGGTGAGCTGTAGGGGGTTGACCTGAGGCTTGGGCAAGAGTCCAGAGTCTTAGGCCTAAGGGAGGAATTACAATTCTGAGCAAAGGAATAGAAACTCGTAACTAAGTGGAGATGGAAAAATTTCTCTCTGTCAGTGAGTGACAAAACACACCCTTTGTTCTTATTTGTTTTCACCTCCGAGCTCTTGAGAGTCCCTGAGGAAGTGGGGGGTGGGGGCTAGGGGTCAGGGAAAGACGCTAATAAATGGGTTTGGTAGCTTCTCTGGCAGCAGGCCTGAGGCACTAGAACAGGAGGGGCAGGTGGGCCTGAAGAGTAGAGAGGAAGAAGGGGTGAGAGGGGGTCACAGCTGTGGCCCCGGTGGCCCCATCTTTCCTCCAGCCCCTGACACAGTAGGCAGGGGTAGGGATTTGTTGCCAGCAAGAGGTGCAGACTTGTTTTCAGGCTCAGCCCAGGCTGTGGGGAAGAAAAAGAGGCCAGACCAGAGAGTCCTTCAGGTTTTGGGGGCTCTTCCTGGGCAGAGATCACATTTTCCCCGGGGTCCTCCCCCGACTAAGCCACTAGACCGGGGACTCTCCAGGACAAAGGTAGTCCTGTGTGCAAGAGAGCAGTGTCTCCCCAGCCAGATGGGATCTTCCCAGGGCGAGGGCTGTGCCTTTCTTGCCTTCACATCCAGGACTCCCTGGACGAGGGCCTGTCTCCCCATCATACGGGTCCCCGGGGACCAGCACCAGGTTCTGCAGGCAGGTATGACTGATGTGGCCTCTCTGGCTGGCAGGCAGCAAGTGGTACAAGCAGCACCTCTCCTACCGCCTGGTGAACTGGCCACAGCACCTACCCGAGCCAGCAGTTCGCGGGGCTGTTCGAGCTGCCTTCCAGCTGTGGAGCAATGTCTCGGCGCTGGAGTTCTGGGAGGCCCCAGCCACAGTCCCCGCTGACATCCGCCTCACCTTCTTCCAAGGGGACCACAACGACGGACTGGGCAACGCCTTTGATGGCCCAGGTGCTGACACAGAGGCTCTCTCTCCCATGGCAGGAGGGGAACCCGGTAGAAAAGGCTGTCTGGGGAGGGCAATGGAGCCTAAACTCTCGCTTTGGCCTTGACCAAGCTGCATTCTCTTTTAAAGAGCTCTCAGTCTCCTCATCTATAGAATGGGAACAATGGTTTCTGTCCAGTTGTGTGCCACATGGCTGAAAGGACAGCCAGATGAGCTTCTGCATGGAAAGTGCTTTGCAAATTCCAGAGTATTTTCTGGGAGAATCTTCTGAGGTCCCGTCATCCATCCTCTGCTTCTAGAGAGCCCCATGCCTCTCCTGTCCTCCAAACATGGATATTCTCCAGACCAACACCCTGAAAACACCCAGAGGCCACCGCTACCCCATTCCTACCCTCCCTGCACCCACTACCACAGTCACTGCCACAGGGCAAGAGGCATTCTACCCCCTACCTGTCACGGAAGTGCTTCCCATTCCCACAGCCCAGACAGTTCTCCTGTTTGCCCCCAACCTAAAGGCAGTTTAAACTGCTCTCCTCCCATTCTGCCCAACACTGACCTTCAGAACCTGAACGCAGGCTCCCTGTGCATCTCCTCCTGCTAATGAGGGAAGGAGACCTGATCAGATCCCTTCCTGGTGGGGACTTGAGACCTTGCGTGGCCTGGGCAATAGGGCCCACACCTCCCTTACACTCCTCTGCTTTCCAACAAGCCCACTCAGAGCAAAGCCAACATCCAGGCCCTGCTGGTGGTACCCAGGGCAGGACTGGGAGAAATCTAAGCTTTTCAGGAATCCACATGTAACACATACGTATTCTTACATGTGAGTCACTTCACCCATGATATCTACATGAGATGTTTATGCCCACACCCAGGTGGGGTCCGGTGGCTAAGAGGGTTCTGGACTGGGAGAAAGCTCTCTGATTTAGAACAGGTGCTTTGTCTTCTTGAGTTTAGGCCTTCTCCCTCTGAAACCTGCCATCTGTCTCCCAGGATTACTGGGAGAATTGAATGGAAAGGGCTAACATTGCTCGAGGCATATTCAAAACAGGAGGCATGTATTCCTCGTACATACGGCCCATTCCCCACACTCCCTGCGGTTCTCCTTTAATGGCAGGCATTCCCCGTTGGCCTGGGCCCCAAGAAGGCAACGCTGGAAGCACCCTCAGCAGGCTTCTAGGCCAACATCATCACTGCGCAGTTCACTGACCCCTGCCCCTGCAGAAAGTGAACTGTGAACCGTGAGGTCCTGGGAACTGCGTGACTGATAAGCTCCCTCTGGGGCATGTCACAAGCTTGAACATCACTGATCCAGCTCACTCCCTCTGCTCACTCCTACTACAACCTGGCAGGTAGAGACCCACAAAGGGGCCCCGGCAGAAGAAGGCAAGAACACAAAAATATATATACTTTTAATTAAAGATACTATACACACCCATACATATATCCAGCACCCAGATCAAGAAACAGTACCAACATCCGTAAGGTCTCATCATGCCCACCTCTGGGATAACCACTACACCTATTCCCATATCTTTTTGAAAATAATTCCTATGCAGCATTTATTACGGGCGAGGCACTAAATATTATACGTAACACACACATATACCACATCCCTCTTTAATCCTCAGCATAACCCCGTGAGGAAGAAGCTCATTATCATCATTCCCATTTCAGATCAGAGGGGGTGCTACTTGCCCAAGGTCACACAGCTAGAAAATAGTGAAACCAGGATAGAAGACCAGGCAGTTTGGTCTCATGCTGTGTGTATACCACGCTGCCTCTTAGGCGCCTCCACCCCATAGCCTCGCCATCAGTTCACCGCTCCACAGTTCAGCCTCTGACAGACGTCGTTAGGAGGGGAATTATGCAGCAGAAGACAGCCACACCCACCCTTTGGCCCCTGCGCTGGACGGTGGAATTTGGGGGTGTCGCGGGCGGGTGGCTCCCCCTGACCCTCTGCGCCGCCTGCAGGGGGCGCCCTGGCGCACGCCTTCCTGCCCCGCCGTGGCGAAGCGCACTTCGACCGCGACGAGCGCTGGTCCCTGAGCCGCCGCCGCGGGCGCAACCTGTTCGTGGTGCTGGCGCACGAGATCGGCCACACGCTCGGCCTGGCCCACTCGCCCGCGCCGCGCGCGCTCATGGCGCCCTACTACAAGAGGCTGGGCCGCGACGCGCTGCTCAGCTGGGACGACGTGCTGGCGGTGCAGGACCTGTATGGTGAGCCCCCGCCGCCCCGCCTCCGGGGCCTGGACGCCCGCGCTGCAAGCCGGCCTCCCCGCCACCGGTCCCTCCCGATCCGGAAGCCGCAGGCTTCCCTCAAATCCCAAAACCTTCGCCCTCCTGCTGTCCCCCATGCCTGGCCTCTCGATCCCGACTAGGTCCCGCGCCGCACAGCCTTCCCTTCCATGCAATTCCGGATTCCCGCCCAGCCCCGGTCTTGGCAGTTCCTCTCGCATCCCTGCCCAGTCACCCAGACCCAGCCAGGGGTCCCGCGTCTTCCCC